TGTGTGTGTGTGTGTGTGTGTGTGTGTGTGTGTGTGTGAGAGAGGGTATGTGTGTCTGTGTGTGTGCGTGCGTGTGTGTGTGGGTCTGTATCTGTGTGTGTGCGCGTGCGTGTGTGTGTGTGAGAGAGAGAGAGTTTGTGTGTGTGTCTGTGTGTGCGTGTGGGTCTGTATCTGTGTGTGTGTGAGAGAGAGAGAGGGTTTGTGTGTGTGTGTGTGAGAGAGAGGGTTTGTGTCTGTCTGTGTGTGTGTGTGTGTGTGTGTGTGTGTGTGTGTGTGCGCGTGCACGCGTGCGCTCATGTAAGACAGTTCAAGAGGTTGAGAACCGGCCTGCGAACCCTTCTGTCATATGCCAATGCCAGCCAGCGAGCAGTTCCTGGCCAGTGCTCTGCCAGCATTAGCTCCATCTGCAACATGCATGTACCATGGCAACTGGGCCTCCCTGATTGAAAACTACCAGCCCCACCAAACACTTACCTTTTCATCAGATATATAATATATATACTTTTTTTATCAGGACATTTTGGAAAATGAGAGCATTACCCTGGACTGGATGTTTCGCTACTCGCTGATCAATGATATTGTCAAGGTAAGACCCCTTTACATCGAAAGGAAAGGTTTGGAGGGAGATGGGCCAAATGCAGGCAAATGGGACTAGTTTGGTTTCGGAAACCTGGTCAGCACAGATGAATTGGGCCGAAGGGCCTGTTTCTGTGCTGTATGACTCTAAGCGTGTTGCTAGCCGTAGCCATTCAGTGTCGCTAAGGGCTGGTTAATGCGGTCTAGTAGGGTTTGGAATAACAGAGGGGAGGGGGCCATTCAGGAGTTGGGGGAAAAGACAGGGGTGGCTCAGTGGTTACTGCAGCTGCCTCACAGTGCCAGGGACCCAGGTTCGATTCCAGCTTCGGCAACTGTCTGTGTGGGTTTCCTTATATCAGTATGTGGAGCTACGATGTTGTGGCCATTATGGAGACTTGGATATCACAGGGGCGGGAATGGCTGTTGGATGTTCCGGGGTTTAGATGTTTCAATAGAAATAGGGAGGGAGGTAAAAAAGGTGGGGGAGTGGCGTTGCGAGTCACAGCTGCAGAAAGGGAGGTCGTGGAGGAGGGTTTGTCCACTGAGTCAGTATGGGTGGAAGTCAGAAACAGGAAAGGAGCAGTCACTTTATTGGGAGTTTTCTATAGGCCCCCCAATAGCAACAGAGACATTGAGGAACAGATTGGGAGGCAGATTGTGGAAAGGTGCAGAAGTAATAGGGTTGTTGTCATGGGTGACTTCAACTTCCCTAGTATAGACTGGAACCTCCTTAGTGCAAATAGTTTGGATGGAGCAGATTTTATCAGGTGTGTCCAGGAAGGATTTCTGACTCAATATGTAGATAGGCCGACTAGAGAGGAGGCCATGTTGGATTTGGTGCTTGGCAGTGAACCAGGCCAGGTGTTAGATCTCTCGGTGGGAGAGCATTTCGGTGATAGTGATCACAACTCCCTGACTTTTACGATAGTCATTGAGAGGGATAGGAGCAGACGGTATGGGAAAGTATTTAATTGGGGGTGGGGGAATTACAATGCTATTAGGCAGGAACTGCGGAGCATAAATTGGGAACAGATGTTCTCAGGGAAATGCGCGACAGAAATGTGGACGTTGTTTAGGGAGCAGCTGCTATCCAGGTACTAGATAGGTTTGTCCCACTAAGGCAAGGAAAGGATGGTAAGGTGAAGGAATCTTGGATGACAAGATATGTGGAACATCTGGTCAAGAGGAAGAAGGAAGCTTACTTAAGGTTGAGGAAGCAAGGATTGGACAGGGCTCTAGAGGTCGACAAGGTAGCCAGGAAGGAACTGAAGAATGGACTTAGGAAACCTAGAAGTGGGTATGAGAAAACCTTGGCGGGTAGGATCAAGGAAAACCCCAAGGCTTTCTATACTTATGTGAGGAACAAGAGGATGGCCAGAGTGAGGGTAGGACCAATCAGGGACAGTGGAGGGAACTTGTGCGTGGAGTCAGAGGAGGTCCTTAATGAATACTTTGCTTCAGTATTCACCAGTGAGAGGGGCCTTGATGTTTGTGAGGACAGCATGAAAGATATGCAGGTTGATGTTAGGAAGGAGGATGTGCCAGAAATTTTGAAAACTTGAGGATAGATATGTCCCCTGGGCCAGACAGGATATACCCAAGGTTACTACAGGAAGCGAGGGAAGAGATTGCTGCCCCTTTGGCAATGATCTTTGCGTCCTCACTGTCCACTGGAGTAGTGCCACATGATTGGAGGTTGGCAGGAGAATGGAGTTTAAGAGCCTCGAGGTTGTGCTGCAGCTCTATAAAACCCTGGTTAGACAACACTTGGAATATTGTGTTCAGTTCTGGTCACCTCATTATAGGAACGATGTGGAAGCTTTAGAGAGGGTGCAGGGGAGATTTACCAGGATGCTGCCTGGGCTGGAGGGCAGGTCTTATGAGGAAAGGTTGAGGGAGCTGGGGCTTTTTTCATTGGAGTGAAGAAGGATGAGAGGTGACTTGATAAAGGTTTACAGGATGATGAGGGGCATAGATAAAGTGGATAGCCAGAGACTTTTTCCCAGGGCGGAAATGACTATTAAGAGGGGGTATAATTTTAAGGTGATTGGAGGAAGGTACAGGGGAGATGTCAGAGGTGGGTTCTTCACACAGAGAGTGGTGGGCGGGTGGAATGGGCTGCCGGCAGTGGTAGTGGAGTCAGATACTTTAGAGACTTTTAAGCAACTCCTGGATAGGCACATGGATGATAGTAAGATGTAGGGTCTGCAGGGTAGTTTGATCTTAGTAGGATAATAGGTCGGCACAACATTGTGGGCCAAAGGGCCTGTACTGTGCTGACTGTTCTATGTTCTGTGTATGTCCTCTGGGTGCTCTGGTTTCCTCCCACAGTCCAAAGATGTGTAGGTGGCCGTGGGAAATTGCCCATAGTGCCCAGGGATGTGCAGGTTAGGGTGGATTGGCC